ATAAAGAACTAAAAAACCTTAACACCCAAAAAACAAACAACCCAATCAATAAATGGGCTATGAAACTGAACAGATACTTCTCAGAAGAAGATATACAATGAATCAACAAATATATGAAAAAATGTTCAACATCTCTACTAATTAGAGAAATGCAAATCAAAACTAATCTAAGATTTCATCTCACTCCAGTCAGAATGGCACCTATTAAGAATACAAGTAACAATAAGTGTTGGCAATGATGTGGAGGGAAAGTCACACTCATACATTGCTGATGGCACTGCAAATTGGTGCAACCAGCCTGGAAAGCAATATGGAAATTCCTTATAAAACTTGGAATGGAATCACAATTTGACCCAGCTATCTCACTCCTCAGTTTATACCCAAAGAACTTAAAATCAGCATACTATATATAGTAACACAGCCACATCAATGTTTATAGCAGCTCAATTCACAATAGCTAACTGTGGAAGCAACCTAGATGGCCCTTCAATAGATGAATGGATAAGTAAACTGTGGTATATATACACAACAGAATATTACTCAGCTTTAAAAGAGAAAAAAATTATGGCATTTGCAGGGAAATGGATGGAATTGGAGAATCATGCTAAGCAAAGAAAGCCAATCCCAAAAAACCAAAGCTGAGTGTTCTCTCTGATAAGTAGATGCTGATCCATAATGCGGGGGGAAGGGGCATGGGAAAAAAATGTATCAAAAACTTTGATTGGGCAAGGGGGAGAGAGAAGAAGGGAGGAGGTATGGGCCTCCTATGGTGGAATGTGATGGACATTATTACACTATGCACATGTATGACTCTGCGTATGGTGCAACACTACATAGTGTACAATCAGAAATGAAAAGTTGTGCTGCAATGTGGAAAATGAATCAAAATGCATTCTGTTGTCATATGTACCTAATTAAAATAAATAAATAAATTTTTAAAAAAGTCTTAATGCCTCCTGAATTACTAACATGAAATTGTTATATTTGATATTAACTTCAAAATAATTTGGGGTGGAGGTGAGAAGCAGACAGAGAATGATGAAACAAAATATCCATGTGATGATAGTTTCTGATTGGAGTTGCAGGTTTACAAAATTCATTACACTATTATTTTCACTTTTTAATATTTGGGGGATGTTCATAGTAAAAAGATAAATAATACTACATAAACAAATACAGAATAAATTGAGTTTGAGTTTAAGGTCTCAGAGCTCACAGTCCATAGTTCTGAATGAAAACACTTTCTCAGATATACATACAGATAGCAGACAAGGATTTCACAAGATTATTGAAGACTGATTCGTAGAGATTTCCTTAGTGAAGAGCCATGTTTTCTCCACTCAGAACACTGATTTCTGAGCAAAGATAGGCCTTTTTTTTTCTGAAAGTAGATAAGTCAATATGATGTGCCTGATTATATTACTGAACACATGAAAAGACATAAAATGAGACACAAAATGTGGGTCCACAAATGTGGTTGTTAGTTCTCCCTATTTTGAAATAAGACCAGTTTCTGAGAAACCTAATAGAGCATATGACTGCTCTCCTTTTAACAATATCTTTGCACATATAACCCATGCATTCCATTTGGCCATTCCTGCCTTTCCTGTTTGCCATTTATTGCTCTTAACTACAGTCTTCAATTCACACTTTTTTGGTTTTTAGTTTTGAGGTGAGGAAGAAGAATCTTTGAAGATGTTCAAAAATTTCCTTCAAGTCAAATAAATCATTAGAAACTACGTTTTATCCAGAATCTAGTTGTTTTGCAGTAGGAGGGGCATTCTAAGTAGCTTATCCAAGGTTTTGCCAAAAATAAACAAACAAAAACACTTCTCTTTCTTCTTATCTGAATCCTATCCATCCAAAAGGAGTTGACCAAGTCTAACAAATGTAGCTCCTATAGGGTAAATGCTGGGTCATCATTTTTTTTGTGTGGTGTACTAGGAATTGAACTCGGGCACTCAACCACTGAACCACATCCCTAGCCCTATTTTATATTTTATTTACAGATAGAGTCTCACCGAGTTGCATAGTGCCTCACTTTTGTTGGTGCTGGCTTTGAACTCTAGATCCTCCTGCCTCAGCCTCCCAAGCCGCTGGGATTATGGGGATGTGCCACGGCACATATTTGGGTCACCAATTTTAAAATATATTTTTCATGGTCTCTAGTTCAATGTCCTACTAATAATCAGCATTCAATAAATGAATTGACTGATTTTTTAATCAATGCAAATTTAAAATTTGTGATATAATTTGTAAATCAGTATTTTGCTTATAATATTACCATGCTACCATTACTATAAAAATATCATCATGTATCCTAATGTTCACTTTCACTAAATGCCTAAAAAGGTCATAGGAGCAGATTTAAATTCTGATGTGTGTTTTGGGAGCAGAATCAGCTATGGAGAAACAAGGGTAGTCAGCATTTATGTAGGCTGGTTACATTTTGAAAATTATTTGCAAGATTTATTACAGAAATTGTAACTGAACTTTTCAAAAATATTTATCATGGTAGTTAGAACATACACTACAGTATCTTTTTTATGTGATCATGTTTATAAAGGCCATTTTAAAATTTGCTACCCTAGGCTTATACAGCAATAATCTAATGTCTTTCTAACAATATTAAAAACATTTATCTCTGGGAAAATGTTGTAGAGAAATTCTAGTGCAATGATAATCCAAATACTTAAGTAAATGTAAAAAAATAATATTGTATTTCAGAATACCAAAGAATTGAATTTTTTTGAAAAGGGTATTTTAATTTCTCATGAAAGCAAAATATTACTTTCTGAAATTCAGTTGATCATATGACAATATTTCTTAAAATTCAACTAAATAATGTTGAAGTACATTTGTTCTTTAAGCATTAATGATTTGAGTTATGGTCCATGATAATGATATGCAGATAAGAAATAATTGACAATAATATTATATCTATACAGATTTTAATCTCTCCACATTTAAAAATGTGATCTAGACTAGAATTATGTTGTCTAATATTATAGCCACTAGTCACATGGAGGCTCTATAACTGTAATAAATTAAATATAAATAAAATTCCAATTTCAGTTTCTCTGTTGCACTAACCACATTTCAAATGCTCAACGGCTACATATGGCTAGTGGTTAGCATTTTGAAAGTGTCCACATGCAACATGACCATCATCACAAAAAGTTCTACTGAACAATGTCAGTCCACAGTAGAGAGACCAGTTACTGTTGAATAGAATCTCAAGAGTGTGTGTGTGTGTGTGTGTGTGTGTGTGTGTGTGTGTGTGTGTAAAGAATTTTCCCTTTGGTGTAAGAGGTTGAATTGAATCTATCAAATTTAAATGATTTTTCTGGAAAAATCTATATTCTGATGTAAATAGTTAAAGCTGTGCCTCAAGCATTTCAGTATAGATTTTTTTTCTTCTTGCATGAGAATGATTCCATTTCCTCAAGATAGTGAATTATACCATTAGTCAGTCTTTTCTTCAATTAGTGCTTTCTTTCATTATAAAGCTCTATTCTAACCCTTCCCTGCTTCCAACTTCGGCCAGCAATAGTTCAACTTCTATTTTGCAGCAAGGAATTCCTATTTTAGATAGCAGCATGTCAGGCCTCGGACTCCATACTTGGGAAGTTTGTAACTAGCATGACTTCCTTGTCTCATATTTTTATTGGGTTCAGAGGTTTTTATGCCCTTCAGATGTTCCATCAAATTGTGTAGCCTAACACAACTTCTTATCTCTCAATTCAGAAAGGTACATTTTTGTAACATATAAAAAGAATCATGGAAATGAATAAAGAATGCAATTTGACATAGTTATGTGATAAACAAACTCTGTTCCTGCAGTTAGAGATTGAACATAAAGGGTCCCAAAAACCGTAAGAAAGATTCTCTCTGTCATTTATGCTTTACTAGGAACCATACTGCAGAGGAAAACTGGAAAGACACATGTAACAAAAAACAGATGAAAATATTATAAAAAACACACAAACCACAGGGCATTTAAAGGCAATTCTCAAAAGCCCCAGTGAAAAGTAATATGGCTATCTGTATTTAAAAGACCAGATAAATCATATGGCAGATCTAGAAGGTAGAAAAGAAATTCTAAATTACTTGAACATAAAGAAAAAATTAAGTATTTTCATGAAAAAGTATATAAATAATCATGAATAATCACATCCTATTGAAAATAATTTGATTTTATAGGTAGATAGTACAAATATGAAAAAGATAATGATTCCAGATAAGGAAATATTTTAGTACAAATTTCAAATATTTTAGTAAAGGGTCTTTCTCCAGAGTGACAATGTGTTTCTTGGAAACTAAACTTCCACATTAGATTTTATAGCTTCTGAAAATAAATTTGAACCTTGAAATAACCTATAGAAATGTACATTAATTTGGAAAGAAAAAAAAGAAAGAAAATAATACACCAGCCTCCCAACCCTTTTCCCAAATATATATTTGCATTTTGGTAATTATACTTTCTTTCAAGATTCTCTGTGGAGTTTAAATAGATAACCACATCTCAGTTCACATGCTTACTCCTCGAGAAGCCTAAAACCAAATTAATTGCTATTACTGTTTACCAGTAAGATATTCTTTTCTGACCAATTTTTTCTTCATTTTTGAAACTTAAAAAATGTTTTATTACACTTAGGAAACTAATCCTGGCACAAGGCCTCTGAAACATGGTTTTTCAGACACTAATGGGTCTTGGAAAAGTTTGAAACTCTCAATTCATTAAAACTTTGAGTAGCTGTTTTGTACCTAAGAATGAGAATTGATGGAGAGGTTGGGACTAAACACATAATTTTATGGAATATGATGAAAACATAAGGGTTTTGTTATGACGCACATAACAATCAAGAACCTGTTTCTTTTTAGCAAGCTCCTAAAAAATACCTCCCGTATAATTATTAAATAAAAACACTCACTCATTCAGTACTCAGCTAGCTTTTAAACTCTGAATAAGAGAAGTACACAGTGAGAGAGGTACTTACATGGTTTCCTTGGATACTGGATGATGCTATTCAGGTCTATGTTTTTATCTGAAAGTGGTGCCCTGCGGAGAAATGAGGCTTGGTGAGTGGCTGTTTATACATAGTAAGTAAATAGGAACTTTGTTTATTTTACAAAGCATTTTTTATTTTGACCCAGATTTCTTTTACTCATCACACCCAACCCTTGTAAACAGCAATAATAGGGTAGAACAGGTATTCTGTACAACTCTTTTTAACTCCACTTAAGAAATCATAATTATCAAGGCAGAAGCTCAGAATGCTTTGGCTAAGAATGTTACTCCTTAGGCTCCTTTATATATCTTGACTACTATATTTATTTCAGACATATTACTGAGTGTTGCCTGCCTCTCTAGTTGCCTCCACAAGGACTTTTTCCAAAGCTACCAATAGAGAAATTCATCAGAAAATTTCACATAAATGATAAATGTCCTTACCTTAACCAATGAATAAGAGAACCCTAGCTTTAGCCAGCTTCCAACTACCAGGGGTTTCCACAGACATGAATTGCCATGTCAAGTGCTGCAGGGGAAGCCTAGATTCCCAATAGTTTAAGTGCTATGAGCACACAATTTCCACACTCGGTCTTACAGAGCTACATGCTTTCTAATTTTGGTAGCATGATTAATCCCTCCTATGTGATAAGTTTTAACCTTCTAATATTTCTTTGGATCGAGAAGAACAAATGAGGTACAGCAAAGAATTGCAACTAACTTTAATGCTTAACACAATTTAATAACCTGAAATGAAGTAAGTGTGTGCTATGTTTCCATTAAAAAGTTTCCAGCCACAATTAATTGAACAAAAACTTGTCTTGTTCCAAGATTATTCTTGGAAATGTAATTTTAAAGCCTGTGTGAAATGAGGAAACTTACTTTTTTATACCATATGAAAGCAATTTCATTTTTTAGGAATGATTTTTGGATAGACTTCCGATTGGATATTTTCCATTGGAACTAGTAGTGGAGGGGCTTTGGAGGGGGGAGGGGAGGGAAGTAATTCTGTGTTCTTTTGCCAGCACTGACAAAGGTCTGGTTGTCAATGATACCTTTACAGCTAAATTTACTCCAGAGTGACATGAACAGGTGCACCTCGGCCTGCCAGACACTTGTGCAGAGAGATCACGCATCTCGCGGCTTGACGATCAGGGGGCTAAGCCTCGGTCTTCATAGAAAAGGAGAGGAGGCAAGCGCAGCCCAAACTGGGGGGTTTCTCTTCAAAGCCAGCTGGTCTGGCTTTATTCTACAGGAATTTTTTACCTGTCAGAGTTTGGACAACAAAGCCCTCAGCAGGTGCTGACGGGTACAACTTCCTGGAGAAGCAGAAAGGCACTGGTGAGTTTCAATTGCCAAATTATATATTTTTAATCTCTAAAAATTGATTTTGTTACCTTCAAGAAGCATTGCTGTGGTTCCTACGTTCACAGAGCTGATGAGACCATTGGAATCAGAGCCAACTAACTCAACAGTGGGTTTGCCTTCTGTACAAAATAGAACTGCTACTATTTGATAATTTTTAATTTAAAAAATTATAAAAAAAAAATTCGTACTTTTAATATTGGTCTCTCATTACTGTCTTCAATGTCAGAAAAATGAAGAGTTAATTACATATAATACTTGCCTAACTAAACAGCATTTTAATCTTTTTTTAATCTAATTTTGTCATAATTTTTTTTTAATAAAATGTTGTTTCCCAATAATTCTCCAAAATAAAAGTATGAAATGGTACACACTCCTTTCAAAACTTCCATGTACTGGGTTTTTTAATGCGTGCATGTTATAGAAATATGATTAAAGATAATAAGGAATTAACTTAATTTAAACACATTTTTTAAAACATATTACACAGATAATTTAATATTTAAAAGTAACCACATTTTCTCATTACTTTACAAAGAGTTTTTGTTTTTTAGTTTGTTTTAGAGGAAAGTCTTTGAATAAACAAATAAGACAGTACTAAAGCATGTTTTTACGTCATTGATTTCCAAAATTAGTACATTTATATATTTGGTATTTTTGTTTTGTGAATTCAAAAGTTTAAGCAAAAAAATTTTTTTTTTCAGAATAGGATTTTAATTAATGGAAAAATGAGACCACATGTTAGGACATATTTTTAAAAAGTGATTCTATTTCAAGGACTCATTCTTTTAACTATGCTTCACAGCATTTCTCTACAAATTGTTGTATTATAGCAAATTGAAAACATTTATTTAAGCAAGTAAGCAGCTCAAAGCTAGAGACTATACATAGTAAACATATGAAACCATTTTAATAACTAAATTCCATATTCGTAAGCAACATGGGCTAATGAATGTAAAAGACATAACAGCATACATTGATCAAGAATGCTATAAATTATTATGCATAAAATCAATTTTCTGGGCTGTGGGGGGTAGAATTAGTACTTAAGAAGAAAAAGGCTCCTACCAATATAAATTACTAAGACTATAAGACAATTGTTTTATTCTGATGATCCCATAAATAATTTCCAATCTACATGCTTAATACATTATTTGTATAGTAGGAAAAAAAATAAGATCTGACTTTTGTTAATGACTATTGTATCTAAAACAAAACTAAATCAATGATTTAGATATGACAACAATTTATAAATATCATTCTCTTTTAAAGTGGCTTAATTGTTTTTTAAAATCATGAAATATTTGTAATTTAAAAGTAATCAGCAATGGTTCACCCGCCAAAAATTCAATATTTTAAAAATATAGTCTTATCTACAAACACTTTAATGAACTCATATTTTAAAAATTAAGACCCAAATTTTCTTTTTATTATAAATTATTACATGTAAAACAAACTGAATAATTAAGATATTTTATTTTAAAGTATACATATATAGAGTTTCAAACTGTTATTTTCATGTGATATTTTGTTATGTTTCATTATATTCACTTGGATACTTGAGTAGCCATAGTCACTGAATGTTTTTATCTAACCTCATTAGTCTCTAAAAGAATGAGTATGTATTTCATGCACTTGAAAATTTTTTTCTAGTGTGTTAGATACTACTTTCCAAATGAATCAGAACACTTTTTTTTAAGAGATGATAACTAATTACTGAAAAACTGAACAACTTACATTCTTAGGTCAACTTCAAAATTATATTTAAGTTTTCATGTGCATTAGTATTGACTATAATTATCACATTGTTTGTCATTATCACCAAGGATAAACAATACAAAAGCTTCTATCAAACTATTGTTTATGACTCTGTCAATTATTTAAGGGCAATAGAACCTATTAGAAACAATGTTAGTTAGATATAGTTCAAATAGCCAAAATAATTAAAATTCACGTTTTAATTGTGTCATCAGTTGTGGACTCAGCCTAAAATCCCATAATTTTTTTCTTTTAATTGTGAAAAATCATAAATCTTTGTTCAACATGAGTTTGTCCTTACTAATAAATCTTTGACATTGTGTTACAAAAATACTCATGCCAAATCCCTCAATGTATCAAAATAGTTTCCTTTAATAATTTTTACTAACAAATTTCTACTTAAAATGATGGTGACTCATACCTGCCATAAAACTTGAATTTTAAAATGTATGTACCTTAAGCATTATTTGCAATACAGATCCACATCTTCAAGATACTTTATTTGCAGTGGGGGCAAAGTAATCATTCTCTTGCCTCAAAAAACACCATATAAAACTGTTTTGTTTATTTTATGTATTCATATGGAAAATCCAGATTCTTCCAGCAATTAATTTCATAAATTATGTTGCAAATATCTATTTAATTTTAGTACAATGGAGCTTCCAGTTAAAGTAGTTTACTCGTAATTATTTAAAGAAACAAAAATGTTTTGGCAACTTTATATGTATATCCTCATTGACCAGACACCTGACTGACAGCTGTCAACTGTCTGTGGGCCAAATGTAACCCAGTAAAGATAAAAATTACATATTACTCATCCCCGTTGATAATACCTGGTGCCAGTAAGTTTTCAAATAAGAATAATTAGACTATAGACTAAAAGAAATAAAAGGGGAATAATTTCTACTACCTACCAGTCTTCCTTTGTCATTAACTCATTTTACCTTCCTTTTCTCAGTTATCCCATTTCTCTCCTTGTCCATATGTATATCACATTTACGAAAAGTTCATTTCCTTAAAGGAATTTTCAGAGGGTGCAACATGTCTGTGTCCATGAAATACTAGGCATGCATGTAATGATGCCCACACATATCTTTGAATTATGTTTTCTTTTGAATTTATGAAATCTTTAGGAATCGTAAGAAAGAAGTTCTAAAGTTTTAACTTCTCATTTTAAAGAAAATGAAATTAACCCAAAATCTCTGATATGGGTATTTAGATGCACACTAGGGCCTATCCCCCAACTTCATATGCAGTGATATTTCTTTCATTTGACTTAAGAATTTGGACACTCAAACTACAAGTTTGGACACTACATATTACATTCCTTTCAAGAACATTTTTCAGTTACTAGTCAATACCTTATTAGAGAAATATACACTTTGTCATAGAACATTAAAATATAGTTATAAAAAATAAAAACATAAGCACATAAAACATCTGTGCTACAAACTCCTTTAGATTCTCTTTACCATTTAAATAGATTTAAACCTGAACATATTTACAAGGTATATGAAATAACAGAAATAAAAATAATCAATAGCAATATATATGTTTAAATGATGAAAGTAGAAATCAAATGTTCAAGTTGGAATTTTTTCTTGAAAAATCAAGGAATAATTTAAAATACTAAATAAACTAACACACAAGCATATCTATAGTATTCAAGTACAGGATATCTTAAACAGTTCATATAACTGATTTAACCAATTAACTTAGTATTTGTGTGTGAATGTGTATGTGTGTGATTGTGTGTGTGTGTGTGTGAGTGCACCCATTAATTACCAAATCTTATGAGATACCAGAGCCCTCATCAGCAAGGTGTCCTAAAAAACTTAGAAACCCTACCATTCAATAATCCTCTATTTATGAAGTATCTGATATTTGTCCATATAATTACTAATTATATTAATTTTTTGTATTTATAAAATTTGTTGATAATTCTGTACTGGTTTACTCAAGGATATGAAAATAGTAATATACAAGAGTGTATTTCATTGTTTTCTGTCCCTTCAGAGAAGAAATTCTTCAAACAAAATCCATCATATTCTGAATTTAAAAGAATTTATCTTATCCCTGGGCTTTGGAGCAGCATTTTCCAGTGAGAAGTACAAATTAATAAGAAAAAAAGGGAGGGGGGTTTTAAATAATGCTATACAATATGAGAGGAAATTGTAGTTTCCTTGCAAGGAATTGATGAAAAATAATCAACAATTTTATGACTAATAACACCATTTAACAACTAAATGATATAACTAACTTTAAAAATGTATTTGCTTATTCCATTAGATCTGTTTCAAATCAACATTAGGCATCAACCGGCAAACCATTTAACAATATGAGGTGTTGTATGATTATGCAAACAATTACGAGCAAAATAATCAGTAAATAATACCCACTTCTAACTATTGTGAAAGACAGGGTGTCAAGGCAAAACATGCAAAATCACAAGAATTTCAAGTAAGTTTATCTTGAAGGAGTTTTAGTGAAAGTAGTGACTTGCCCCTTGCCTGCTTTTGAAGGATTATAAGTGTTTTCTCTTTAGAGCTGAAGAATGCCGCCCAAAAGCATCAGAGCAGAAATAGGAACATTTGCGTCTTAGTCTCTGTTTCACTGCTAAGTAATTTTGTGACTGAAAACAAGTCACTTAACCTTTGTGTGGCAACCAAATGGATGGGACTTTTTGCTTAGTAATAAAAGAACCACGGGAAA